ACATAACAGTATGTCCAATACAAGTACTTACAATCTGACAGTCAACTTGACGTAATGTTTCAGCATACGGTATCCTTTGCAGGAAGCACATGTGATTCGACCATCACCTCCACATGTGTAACACCTGCAAATATATTAAACATAGTTGGCAACTGCTTGTTTCAGGATACTTTATAAAGAATTGTCTTGTGTTTTGAGGACATAGTTGACTATGTTCTTTGTAGCATTAGACGTATAAATTAGTATGTACCGTTTACCAAATGCAACAATTACGGTATATCTGGGTCATAAATTGTTTAATGTATTAAACAGCCAAACATCTAATGTTGATTTGGCTGTGATTGAATTTTCAGCAGCTTAGAGTATCAACAAGTCTATTGAATTGCACACGTAACTGATAAAATACAGATATCCTCATGAAAATAGCAATGTTTTGACCATATATCCTGAGTTAATAGATGTTATGAGTGGTATGGTCATATGGTAGACCACCAAAGAGTCAGTTGTCTTACAATTATCTAGAACATGGAACATTTTTTTATAAAATGGCAACTAGTGTCATGGAACATTTCTAATTATTTGCCATATTTTTGAAGTGAAAGCTTGTTAGTGAACTTTTACTCTGGATGTCAGCCATGATCGCAAAAACATATTGACCAAGTATATTATACATTCTGACACCTGACACCTCCCATAAACCTGCCTGATTCTGATGCAGACAATTATAGATGGCATAGTCGTGGATGTCTTTGCTAGCTTGACCTGATAATGACTAAGGTGGGATTTGCCATCACAACCAATATTATACTGAGAACTGACATTATTGCATGTCAAACCTTTTTACCAGTAGTTATATAAAAGATACCTTGTGTAAAAGAAGCAACAAAGTTTAATTAACCCCAACGCCGCATACAATATTGTATTATTAGCACACCTACAAATGTAAATGAAGACCCAGTGAATATGAAGTAAAATTTACCTATTGAAAAGAAATCATAATTTAGATTTACCATTTTCTTCCTGATCCATGGCATGAATGACATGTTTCTTGGTGCCTCTGACCTTCAGCATCTGTACGCCATGTGTGACCACTGGCATGACATGACCCGCATCGTACACGACCACGCCCATGACATCGATAGCAACGGTTAAAGCCACGACCATCACAATTGTGACATCTCTGGAATATATTTTGATGTAAAATGTGCACACTCTACATCACTCATGGCGAAAATCAAATTAATAAAAATTACATAAAGTTGTTCAATGGTAAGATACAACAATAGTAGCACCAACACTATTCAATTGTCAGTTACTGCTTGATTCAATTTTGACTCAATGTCATGCTGTTTGTGAATTTTTTTTCTGATTTTAACATAACAAAGGCATTCACAATAATGGTTTTTACCTTGTTCAAACACAAGACTGTTTACTAAACAAGTCATGGACAAATAAGCAAAATAATTGTAGACAATATCTATATATTCACATTTTCCATGACTGAGTTGAATCCAGCGTTTCATAAAGTACAATATATTTCTTTAGTTTTGGGGAGTTTTCTCTCATGAATATTCACTGATACAAACATAAATAACAAGTGTATCTTATATCTTACTGCAGCAAAGGCTGTGTAGGGAACTTCCAACTCTTTGACTTCATCCTGAAATAGATTTGTCGGTGAACACATGATGTTCCATGGTGGGGGTGCCATTCCATGCATTGGCCCCATTAAAGGTTTGCGTCCCTTGTAATGTACAAAATCACGACTGGTTTCACGACTTTCTGAAAATGTCTCAAGTTGATACTGAAAACAAAACATGTCATTTCATGAGACTAATTAAATGTAATTTATTATACACAATATCATGTTCCACACATGAATGTGGTGAAACCCATGGCCTGTGACAACCACTATGCAAAAAGGAGAAAGGCAACACACACACACCCAGAAGAAATACTTACATGTAAGGCACTAGATGGTAAAATCGAACTAATCTCCATTTCTTTAGCAGGTTTTGATCCATAGCAACAGTGCTCACTGACAAACTGTATCATGGCTGCACGTGCATCGTCTTCACTAATATTGGAAGCACTGAAATAACATTTGGAATTTGGGACTATTATGTGACATGTATATGATATGAATATGCAATAATTCTAAGAAATAATTTACAAATGTCCTGAACTAATGTGACATAACATATTAAGGAACTTGTGACTATTATG